CCCAAGCGTCCTGCGAGCTTCTCCCCGGCGTGTTTTGCTCTAGGTGATAGCGCTGTCCTTGGAGATGATGCCCAATCTGGGTATTTAAGAGTCCTGTAAGATGCCTATCAAATAGCAGAGTAGCGTGTGTGCGTGGGTGCACTAAGGGGAGGAGGCAACAGCACTAAGGAAAAAATGAGGATTTTTTCCGGCTTCTGATCAGTATCTGTATTTATACAGCAGGAGAAACAGACGTTTGGAAATTCCCAAGTGCACGTTCAACAGGTCGGTCTGGATGCTTCAAAGCCCTGTTGAGAAATCCTTTTTTTTTTTTTTTTTTCCTGCAGGAAGGAGATACTTAATGGCCAGCTGTCACTGAGCCATTCTGACCGAGGAGAAATATGTCAGGATATAAACAGCACCAATGGACACACATATCTCTTTCCCCTTGGCATGGATTTCAAGTTTAATAATTTAATAGAGATGTTACTCATCCTTTCTGCATTAGCGTGCCCCCAAAATAGGTGTTTATGACTGTAAAATATTTTTTTTTAGATTTAGGAGCATGAAAATCAGGTGTAGCTCCTGACCTAGTGTCACTAGCTTGTTTTCCATTGAATGTTTGCAGTTGCACCTGATTTTGTATTTCATTGTTTGGGTTATAAAAACCCAGACCACTGATGTAGAAATGACTGGACATTTTAAAAGAATAAAGAAAAACTGAGCGCTACCGAGACAGTGGACTAGCAGCTGAGGTAGTCTTGAAAGATTAACAATATAATTATTATTTTTCTAGATCGCTCGCTATTTTTTTAGACCACTGACAGACTTGACAGAAGTTTTCCAAAAGCGGTAAGAATATTTACTGCAATGCGTAACCCATATCTCTGCTCCGCTGTCTGTCCTTAGGCTGTTGTAATGCTTTCAAGATATACGTGCGCTGCTTAGTGAAAGAATAACTGTAGTCTCGTTTCTAACGTAGCACTGAATAAAACATATTTAATATGTGACTGATTATTCCAACGTGTCATTCTTGGCCCCTTTTACCCTTTGCCGCCCAGTGATTCGTGGGGGTGGGCCGAGGTGCATAATACTTTGTGGTGAAGCCCATAGATCTGCAAAAATCTGTTTTCCCAATTTAAAGGCCTTTTGGCTTTATCGTCGCTTCTGTGGGGTTTCTTTATGTCTTGTAAGGTGGCATCATTTATTAGCCCCCGGTTTGAGGGCCTGGGGTTATACACAAGGTCCCGTTATTTTTCCCTTCTGGGTAGGGAAGTACCTTGCTCCTGGGAGAGGAGGAGAAGGGAGAAGGCTGCTCAGTCCCGGGAAAGAAAGAGAGAGAAAATGAGGAAGGGATTAGGGAATAGCGTTGGGCAGAAGGTCACGGCCGAGGTGGCGGTGGAGCTGCTGATGCCACTGCCGTCCCACTTCGCCTCCCTCCTGCGCGCCGGCTGTGGCGCCCGCTGGGGACACGGTGGCGTCAGCAGATCGGGCAGCACTGGGTTCCCGTTAGGTTTCGCGGTGGAAGCGCCCCTCTGCCTGCTCGCCTTGTACCAACGGCTCTGCCCTTTCGGCAGCGTTGCGGTTACGCTTTCAACATCCACAGGGTTATGAAAGTAAAATGAAATGAAAAAGCTTCTTTAGCCGCAAATGTCTGAGGGCTGGGCTAATTTCATCGGGAATCAAAGTGGCCCTTATTCGTGTTTCTGTTTCTTTCTTATTCATGTTCTGGAAAACGTCTATGATTTCTCACATCTGTGAAACCTGCTGCTGAAATCTTCCTGAACGTGACAGAGGTTTATGGTCTTAAAAGTACCCTGTTGATGATAATTAGGAATTATTAGATGTTTTTATAGCTTTCACTGAAAAACTGCAGAAATGTATGTATCGAAAGGAAATGTAACATCCGCGACGGTTGCTGTCCTGGCCTGTTTTCACTGCACACAGCGGAGGTGAGGGTTAGGTTTTTTTTTTTCAAATTACGGCCGTACAAGGAAGCCAAATGGTGGAAACCAGAATTTAGGCAAGCTCTTTATCGTCTGCTGCAGTTATCACTTCGCCAGACTAAACGTGGTTGCTCGGGTTTAGTTTCCCTCTGACTCAGGTCTCTGCCCCTGCAGAAGAAGGGGGATCTTGCATCGCCTTGCAGGGCGCTGTCCCCTCTCGCCAGGCCCCAAATTGCCGGAATGGGCACCTGCGTGGGGACGGACGCGGGGCCAGAGAGCCTGTACGAGTCGGAGCGTCACCCAACGTAGTCGTCTCCAGAAGCGCTACCTGCTCAGCACCGCGGGGGCCTTGACCCTGCACGGCGAGAGGATCTCCAGCCCGGTCGGCCTTTTTGGAGGTTACCTCCGAGGGTGCGTTTTGGGCAGTTTTCCCTTGGGTTGAAAGGGGAAGAGGGAATGGTCCACAGCCTGTGGCACTGCTGCTCCTCGGTGCTTTTTCTCTTTAAAGTCGAGCCAACTGGCGTAAGTTGAACCCGTGAGGCACTTGAGAGGAAGAAAAAAGAAGTGTTTTTTTTTTTTTTTTCGCAGAAATCACCCAGGGGCGGTAAAATGGAGAGAGCTTTGCCTTTTAAGGAAGTACCTCAACCTTGGCCGCAGGGTGCCCAAGAGAGGGCTTCCCTCTCCTATAAGGGCCATTTCGTTCCCTGTGGCCACGGAGGGGCCGGGTGTGGGATTGCGCCTTGCGGCCACCCCGCAGCTGGAAGCCCTTCTGCCGTTGCAAGTTCGGAAACGGAGCGGGGCAGAGGCGCTGCTGGGCGGAAGGGAGACTCTTGCTGCAGGCGGTTCGCCGAGCCTGGAAACCCCAAAATTCACGTAGCTGGTGGGGAACGAGTCCTTGTGCCACGCTAGCTAAAGCTAAGCACACGGAGGAAGCATTACCCATGTAAAGACCCAGCTCAAGCAGCCTATAAATTAGATTATGAGGCATATTTGGGGGGTTGGGGAAAGGGGTTTTATAGAGCACCGGGAAACCTGTGAGCATACTGGGCATCCCAAGTCAGATGTCCCATGTGGAAGGCTGGTCTCGGCCCCCCCGGGAGTGCAACCGTCTCCCGAGGGACCCCCTGCTCTGTCCTCGTCCCCGGGGCTGAGCCCGAGCGGGCTGAGCCTGGCGGTGGCCCCGCTTGGCTCAGCGCCGGTCCCTGGCCGCCTTCGCTGGCTATCGGCGCTTGTGTTGCCCTTCCCGCTCTGCCTGAAGGTTGGCCTTGGGCGTATCGCGCTGTCTGGGTTCCCTCTCCCACTCTCTGCAGTCTCCGGTGGGAACAGACTCCCTCTTGGACCTGGTCCACCTGGAGTTCTTGTTCTGGTTTAACCCTGGCTGGGGTAGAGACGCAGCCAACGTCTTGTCCCAGGGTGCAGGAGCGGATCCTGCTCTCAGCCCCTTGGTGACCGTCTAGCAGTGCCCAGGCGCCGCGCCGTGCCACAGGGGACCAGCGTGCACAACTAAACCCCTACGTGATTTATTTGCCGTTTCTAAGAAACACGCCTGTACCAGCCGCGTTGTGACCCACCGATGCTGTCTGCTGGCTGCTGCAGTGATTGGCATGTTTGCTAGCAAAGTGCTATCAACCGCTTTAGCAGATGAACTAAGTGATTTATAAGATGAACACAGACCACGAAGCCCTCAGCCTGTCTCCCCAGCCCATGGTACTGAATCCCTTTTTCCACAGTGTTGTGTGCGGCAACACACAGAGCACACAAGCAGCCTGGTCCTGCATGGTGCAGAGCCTGCTAAAGCGTTTGCCCCTTCTCAGGCAAGTGGCCTTGACAGCAGAAAGCCCTCTGCAGCCTTTGAGAAATGCTCAGTGTTTTCCAGGGTCTGGCCCAGTCTGGTTGTAAGCTGCTGTGGGAAGGAAAATGTTGAATAAAGTTATGGTCCATCACAAGGAACAAATCTGTGTCCTGCACTGCACGTCCACGGCCGGTCTCCGTAACATCCTGGGCTGCAAGCGACACCCCGGGGAGGGCAGGTGGGGGTCTCTAGAGGACCTCTCCGCTGTCCTTGTCTTGCCAGTCGCATGTCGTGATTCGGGGGGAGTTGGCTATGTGGCCTGTGGTGAGTTGAGGGTCATGTCCAGGGAGGGCTCAGTGCCATGCCGAAGAGGATCCACAGTTTCTCTTGACACCAGCCAGTGGGAGGTGGCAGGAAGGACTGGAAGGACTTACTGCCTGTGGACGCGAAGCCACAGCCTCCTCCGCAGCCCTGTGAAGAGATGCTCTGTCACCTGAGGACCTTGGTCCCAGCCTGTCCCCCTCTGCCCACGACTCCTGGAGCTCCACAGAGTCCCAGGGTCCAGCCCCAGGCTCTCCTGGGGGCTGCGAAACCCTCCATCATCCTGCTGGGAAGATGCACGCAGTTGCGTTCCCACGGCCTGAACTGCTCTGGTCAGCGGGGACACCCTCCGGAGCAGGGCGGGGAGACACTTGCCCCACTTCTCACTCGCTCAAACGACAACCCCCTCCTCGCCTGATGGCTTACGGTGAAAGCGGTGGCCGATGGCAGCCAGGCAGAGCAGCAGGGTGAGGGTGCACGTGGCCAGTGGGACCCAGACGAAGGCGCTGCAGCCACCTGGAGTACAGGAAGGAAATGATGCAGCATGATGAGATGCTGCCCTTCGAGCTGAGCACCCTGGGGACTGATCCTGCCCCTACCAGCCTTGCTGCCCTTCGAGCTGAGCACCCTGGGGACTACCAGCCTTGCTGGGCTGAGCCCCACACACATACTCAGGACTGCTGGACATCACCAGCACCTTGGGGTGTCCTTTGGGGGTATAGTAAACCCAAGGGCATTGCAGGGAACTTAGCCATGAGCCATGTTAACATTTTTGTGAGTCCTCATCCCCTGCCAGGGATGCCAGACACACATAGGCCTGCTGCTGCCGCTGTGGGGATGCACAGAGAAGGGGAGACACAAGCACTTGCTGTTCCTCATTCCTTAGACAGAGCTAAATGGAAATGGCTCCTGGCCCCATATGCCAGGGTCTGGACCCCTGTATATCCCCAGGGATCTCTTCTAAAGGGGGAGGTCAGCTCCATCCCTAGCTGAGGGTCTAGATGGACCTAGGTGCCCAACCACATGGGGTCTCGTTGTCACAGCCCTCTATCCTCAGACAAACTCATGCTAAACCCCAAGGATCAGTGAGGAGCCAAGCATACAACAGGGACCGAGCTGAGCTTGGCTCACAGAGGAGTCCGCTGGCCTAAGCAGTGCAATGCTAAGGGCAATGAAACCCTCTTGCAAGGCAGTTTGAGTGAAGATGGTGCTGTACCTTTCTTGTCGACAGGTCTGCTTTTGGTGATACACCGCGTGGGCTTTTTGGAGGGTGGTGCTCGAGTGGACTTCGGAGGCAGAGGCAAAACATCAACTAGTTGATAAAGAGGGACAAGTTTGTTAATCCTGCAGCGGAGGTTTAAAACAGCAGGCAAGAAAGTCTGGAAATTTTAGCTTTTAAAACTATCCCCTTCGCCACTGAAGGAGGTGAATCTTTGCACACTGGCATTTCTGCCTGCGTTAGCTGATGTTTCCAAAAGTTGAGATTATATATAGCGCTATCCAAGAACTTCTGGAGCTAAACCAAGGCTTTCCATGTGCGGGACCCAGCCTGAGACACCTGCAAAGCTCAGGGTCTTCTGCAGGTGCCAGGAACCTGCCCTCCAGCTTGGCTAGCATGTCTCCAGGAGGAGATCCCTCACACTTCCTAACAGCTCAGTCCCCAACAGCTTCTGAAAGCTTTGGCCTTAAAAAGTGTATCTGAAACAGCCTAAAAAAAATAAGTAAAGCGGGAAATTAAGCAGAGGAATAAGTGGAATGGGAAGATCAGACCCTGCTCTAAAACTACAGCGTTGTCACCAAACTGACCCTGAACCAAAACAGGCTGTCAGCTCATGTGTTCAGGTTGCCGACTTTCTCAGTGATTTCAAGTCCTGTCCAGAATAAAAGAACAAACGTGAGTTAATTTGTGATTGCACAGATTGGATTTCAGGAGCTTGACCTGAACCCCTTGGTAGCCAAAGAAGTTAACAAGGACCTTTAGAAGTATTAACGCAATGGCATACTAGGCAAACAAGGGCAGAAGATTAAGCCAGAGAAAAAGAAAACTTTCTCGAGCTGTATTTACTGCCAGACACAGTCTCATTAGCACTGGTTGACAGCCAGTAGCAAGCATTGGCAGGATTTGTGCTGAGAATGGGATTAATGTGTTCTGGGATATTTCCAAATCAGATTTTGTATTGCTCTGCTGAATAGGAGTAGGAGAGAGAGTTACTAGAAAGTTTCCATCAGCGCAAAATCCAACACTTGATCCTGACAATGCCCGAAAAATCCCCTCGTCTCCTGCTGTCTTTGGTCTTAACGTAGCTGAGCAGTTTCCAAACGGCCCATTTATTTATTTGAAGGTTTTGCATCACTGCCTGTTGTGCTGCTAACCATGCATTTGTTGCACAAAATAAAAAGTAATAGGAGTTTTTAATAGCACTGGGAGGTATCTCTGGATCTTTTCCATATTCAGGTTACTGTAATCTTTGCTCAGAATTGGATTTTTTGCTGATAAAACAAGGCCAGGATTTATTATGGTCGATATGGAGTATAATGTAACACATTCATATGTCTCTTAAAGTTGGTCAGGAAAAAATCCCACTAATTACGTATCTGTACATCTGACTACTCATACTCCAGTTACCCAAAAGTCTGGGAAATTCAAAACTCTTTTTTTCTCCTTCTATCTGAGATAGAAATTGCTGTGGAAACCACCCTTAATTTAAAAGGAAGAGGCTCTCCAGTGTTCCAGAACTCATCTGCGACATTAGGTAACTGGAATTTAACTGGATTACTTCTCCCTTACTTAGTAAGATATTTTAAAAAGAGGAAGTTAATGACTATTCATTTTATCCTGCGTACTAAAGGGAAAAAAAGAAAATGTCCAGTGAAGTCTGAATTCTCCCAGATCATCTGTTGGGATTTAGTTTTAAACTGGAGTGCCCTCGATCATATTGAATTTCAGCTGTGTTTTTAATGCTTTGCTTTTGGGACATAGATAGATCCATAGCTGATAAAAACAATACTCCTTTGTCTCAAATTAGTTTTACCTCAAGCCAGCAAGAATCCAAAAGGGATTTCGGAGCCACTTCAATGAATGCAAGTTGCAGGGTGCTGTTTGCAAAAAGAAAGGTTGGGACACGAGCGACGTTTTAGAGCCGACTGTGGCTTGGCTAAACAGGTTCTTCATCTCCCTCAGAGGCAGTAGAGAACGGGTTGAAGCCTACTTCAAATACGTTATTTTTTTCTACCTCCAACCCCCTGCTCTGTGGCCAAGGGAAATGGGCTGATAAGAACAGCTCTTCCTGTGCCCAAGGTCTCCAGCAGGCCATTTCTGCAACAGGACCTACACGGTACGCCTGATTTCAGATTACATGGCGGGCTGACAGCCTTGAGGATTAAATCCTGATTTATGTGTTGAGCAGGCTTGAAACTTGCAGCCAGATCCACTGGGCGGGAGAAACCCGCAATCCCCACAGCAGCAATGCAAGGGGTGAAGGCCCCTAGTTTTGAAAGCCTTATTATAGTTTGGAGAAAAGTAAGGAAGAATGAGAATGCGGAAGGACCTGTGAGCTAAACAGGGCACGCACGCAAACTCTCATCAAAAGTATCACAAGGGACCAGAAAAATGCAGAGTATCCCCATATTTTCAGTTGACTGGCTTCACTTGGAAGTCCTAACATGACAGGACCAACGCTGTGCCCAGAGCATGGCCAGAACAACCCCTGGTGGCAGAAGGACTACCACATGCAAGCTGTCCTACAGTATAGCCATTTGTGCATTTTCTGCCTCATCGGATCTCTTCAAGGAAACCTCAGAGCCCAAACCTTTCCCGCCCTCCTTACCCTCAAAGCTGGGAGGACCAACACTCATGTGGCTCCTTGGGGACCTTGTCACACCAAGCCATTGGCATGTCCCCGAGATCGGGACCAGCCGGGGTGATGCTTACCCACACCGAGCCTTGTCCCACTGCCGAGGATGAGCTCCGAGGACTCGGAGACGGTGCAGTAATACGTGCCATTGTCTGAAGCTTGGAGGTGGTGGATCTGCAGGTTGTAGGAGTTTTGAGAACTCCCTCCATGGACGCTAAACTTCTCCCTGCCAATGTTTGTGCCATATGTGGTTTTGCCCAGCGGGTTTAAAAATACCAAGAACTGGAAATGTTGCCTCTCCTCGTTCCACCGGTACCAGTACACCCCAGAGTGGTCTTTTTTCACGCGACAGAAGATTTCTGTTTTGTTGTTAGTTTGGGCTAAAATATGTCCTGGAGTCTGAGACAGAAGTATACTTCTACAGAAACCTGCAAAAAAGACAGAAATACATAGTTATGCTTTGGCCATTATTTTTCTTACATGGTAACCACATATTTTCCTTTTGAGGTTGATAACGTCAGTAATCACAGATCAGGGGTCACATTGGTGAGAAACGGAAGCAGGAAACCCAGTCAATATTTCACTGAAGGCCTTTTTGGGTCCCCAGCCTTTTTTTGGCCAAAACACGGGTATTGGTTGTCTCACAAATACTCATCTAGGAGGAAATTAAGTGGCAGAGAGGGATAGAGGGATGTTTCCTAGGGTGTTTGCTGGTCTGCATGTTTAGGGAAGGGGCTCTGACATTGTCTCCAGTGGAGGTTGCTCCTACTCTCCTGTTTCTTTCCCATTTTCCAGAAAAGCTTCGCTTCTCTTTTAGCAGATCTTTTTGAGCCTCTCAGCTTATTTGCAAGATATTTTTCTGAGAGAAGCACCATGCGGGCTGAAGATAAACTTGAGATTGGATCTCAAAGGCAGAGAAAGACCAGCTGTGCCAAACGCGACCGCAGAGGCGTGCGGCGTAGAGGGGGAAACCAGCAGGTGCCGAACCCACCTCTGCTGTTACACGTGTGTAATAGCACATAGCTGGTGCTTTAAAACTGCTTAATTCAATGTCCCTGGGAAGAGGACCCTCAGCTGGGACCCTCAGCTGGGACGAGTAACGGGCATTTTGGGCAGTGTTAATGCATCAGGGCAGGTTTCCCCTGAGGGTATTTCTCCAAAGTGCCCATCTGATCCAACTTTTTTGATGCCTTTTTTTTTTTTTCTGTGGCTGGAGAACTAACAGGGCAGCAGGCTTCGCTGCCTGTGTGTGGTGCTGTCTCCGGTGATGTTGCTACAAGTCTGTCCGGAGCCTGCGGCCCTTGGAGCTGCGGCATCACGCGACTGCGTGGGCCCCCCCTCTCACGCGAAAGCATTGCTGGTCCTCAGAGGTGCAGGAAAAATTTGGAAAGCAGGAGAGGAAAATTAGTAGGAAGATCATTTCAAAACGAGCCATTTTTATTTTCTATCAGTTTTGCAATGCCATTTTTTTTACACTGATTTCACGCTCTGGGGGAAGGGGAGGGGGTCGGGGGTAGCTGTTGGGTTTGAGAGCTCCAGTTTGGCCTCACCGTGTTTGGGCTTTGCAGCTTTTGTGGAAATTATCTTTGTTGTTCTCTGCCTTGGCAGACACATGAACGGTGTCTGTGTGAGAGAGGAGAGAGCTAACATGTCCTTGCAAAAGGATAACAGGGCACCTCCAGTCCTTTTTTTGTTTTCTTTTTTTCCAGAAAACAATCCTCCAAGGCTGTGAATACTCTGAGACCAACAGAAAAAAGCCGCTCGGGAGATAAAGAGGCTCTCTCTTCCCCCGCCTGTTTCCCAGGCGCGTTTTAAAGTCTTGCACGAAGCTGAACCTAACACATTTTTCACTTCTTCGCTTTAAAATGTCCACATTCCTTTAAAATATGTCTTCTTCCTGGTTGGAAGTGCCATCCTTCAAAACTTTGCTGTGGGAAACGCCTCCGTGGGGCGATATCTGTTCGGACTTGGGGCATGCTGCCGTCAGAGGTCCTGGCTAGCGCCCCGAGGCCCGGCTGTGCCGGGATCCCACGGGAAACCACAGCCCCAAGAAACCCTTTCCTTTTAGCCATTGAGGAGATCAGCAGATCAGCAGAAAGGACGAGAAGGAACAGCAGAAAACACTCAGCTCAGGTCCAAGTCAAGGGTCAAACTCCAGCGGGTTGAGCTGGGAGAGGGTTAAAACAGAGCTGAAAAGGGGACTGGAGCGCAGAGGACCAGCAGGCTGGCGGGGGACAACCCCGCCGCGTCCCT